CATTATTGTGTTTTATAGATATAAATTAGTCATCTGTTGTCACCGTTATTGGGATGGACTGAAATGGTCATATTTGTTAATTAACACTGAGATTATGATGACCACAACGAACTTCCTGTTAGTCGTTCATCGCAACAATAATAACCCACAAATAATGCCACAATGAAAGAATGGATTATAGAGCCCTGCTTTTTATACAAAATGACCACACTCATTAAAATAAAAATCGTATCTGTAATGATGAACAAGACTTGTATAGCAACAGTATAAATGAAAACCAGGATCAAAGGACTGCGCGTTAAATACAGCAAGGTATCAAGAGAAAATGATTGTCGTTAGATTCGTTACCACTGTCAAAAAATAAATAAATAAATAAACAAATAAATAAATAAATAAATAAACTAAATTCAAATACACAGAAAGTAAATGTTCAAAAGCACTCTAAAAAGTGTCACCATCACATTGCGCTAGTTGGGAAAAGAAAAATACGCATTGTTAATTTTAAAAAAGAATAAGAATAATAATATAGTGCAGACAACACACAAGTCCAAGTAAACTCAAGAGCTTTTAACCATAGACGTCCCATGTCCGTGGGCACGTGCGCTTTGGGGGTGAGAAAGAACCATTCTATGCTGAAAAGTACCTATCTGAATTAAATACGAACTTGATTCTATGCCATTTCTCATATTGGGTCAACTAAAGGGGGGGGGGGGGAGAAGGCCCACTTTTTCATAAATAAAACCCCCTTTGAAACTACTCCATGTCTGTATCTCTTCTAGAGATAGTTAGATAGATATTTTATTTGTTCTGCAATGTGAACAGGAGCACAAGAAATAATACCTTTTTTCTCTTTGTCAAGATCAGCAAGTCAAGCCGTCAAAACTGAACTCAAGATATGAACATATTAACATATATCGTTGGTATATTTGTTAGTCCAAAACATGTATGTAAGTTACTCTCTGAACTCCCAAGTTTCACACCACATCACGGAGGTGATTAATTTGTATCTGCTGTATTAGTGTTTTGATTGAAGCTAACCAAGGATTAACATTGGTTGTTCGTCACATGAAGTCTTAATATCGCTCTGTGCATAGTGGGTTTATCCCTACATGCTAGCCTATATTAGATATATGTCATTCTTGTCAGCACACCTTAGCAACCGTACTATTTAAATTCACAATTGAAATACGGCAGTGATGTGAACTCTAATGCATGTTTATTATAATGTGTCATTCTATCAGCTATTATGCCTCTGCATTTCTCTCATCATCAGGTTTCAATTACATAACAATATGTTGTGGTCGTTATACAAAGAAGGCACAATTTGTACACACTGATGACGGTGATACATCACTCCAGATTAATGACAGTGACAGAAAATATTTATTTCTCAGTGCCGGCGTTGAGTGTTACGCATCATTTTCAAACGTTTATAAAGTACTCTCCGAAAAATTAATATCCAGAGTCAAAAATTTCCCTCCTTTATTTTCCCTCCCTCCGTATTGTGACCTGTGCAACTTTAAGGCGTACATGCATCACGTAGACGAAGGAGGTACGTCCTCATTCCAAATATTTCAATATTTAAAAATTCACAATAATAATTTGTATTCATTTGAAGTCTTAAATCCATATAAATGTTTAGTGGAGTAGCTGAATAGTATGAAAGTATTGTTTTTCAATAACAACAAAGTATAGGCGGTTAGAAAACAAGTTAAGCGCTGGCACATGGATCTCTATGGCAATGCACAGACAAAAACGCGAAAAATGATACCTGTTTCTAAATATATTTTCAAATGTTGATGTAACTTTAGTACCTTAGTTTTAAAATATTTCTTTAGTTTATGTAATAATAAAATTTAGTTAAATCAACTCAATAAATATATAAATAAAATAAATAAATAATAAACTTGGCAATATTTATATCTGTTATACAGTTCAAGTAATAAGTTAAAACGAAAATAAAGATTATTCGGTAACATTGACCAGCTTAATGTTTTTTTTATTTAGATAAAGATTAAGTATAACGATTAAATATAGCGAAAACAGCATTTCCATTTCCTCTTCTACTTCAATATAATACAGCTTCCGTCATAGGTGACAGCAGAGACTTCGACTATAATAAGGCGCCGAGGTAAAGGGCAGTGCATTTTGACACAACCAGAAGTTGTTTCAGATAAAGAATTAGCACTAAATATCACACTGGGAGTCATTTACGTAGATGGTACGAGGTCTTGACACCTCGACTGGACCGACTGTCACATGACAACTATGACATTTAGCTTGAAGTGTCCTGATGAAGTCTGCGGGATAAAAACAAAAAGGTGAAAATTCAAATTCATACCATCTACAGTACTAGAATGTCCAGTCAGATATCTAATATTCATTATTTATTCGTTAGGTGATGATGAGCTACTTGCTCTCTCTCTCTCTCTCTCTCTCTCTCTCTCTCTTATTGTTTTATTATTATTATTTTAAGCACGTAGTATTATCCAACAGTTGAGACGGGTACTTCTTTTTCTCTGTGCATACACCTTTTGTAAATCAGCTATATGATAGTTCAGAGGGCAGCCATCATTTTGGTGCCCTCAACCCCCTTTATGAACTGAAGAGGATAATGGCAATAAATCAAAAATATGAATTTTGGCACCATGGCCCGGCGATCCTCGTCCCCATTCTAACGCGCCATAGCAACCAAACAATAGGACCGTTTCAATAATTCTTCACCAGTATATGCCGCACTATATAGAAACCCATATAATTCATCCTGAGAGGAAACGGGAAAAGGAGCGCGACAAAATCGAATGTGACTAAAGAGGATTGCGCAGAATTCTCGGACAAGGGGTGAACACGGTAACTTACCTGCAGTCCGAGTAGATGTATTTCTGGATAGTTTACCTCCTTGCCACGGTTGCGCTGACCGATTCCGGACCAATTGACCATGGCGGGGAGAGTTTGGGTAGGGTTCTGTACTTGGATATGGGTTCCGTGGAGGATAATGTGAGTACAGTTATTCTGAAAAGTAACCCCAAATATATGTGTCTGATAAATTTTAAAACAACGTTTCTTGTTACTGTTTACAGATTAAATATCGATTGTAAATACATTTACTAATTTATTTAATATTCCAAGCCTACTTTAACCCATTTTTGAAATTTGTTTTGAATATTTACCATACACTTCAATCTCAATTTTACACATAGCGCGTCGCTCTAAATTTACCTCACAAAATTGACGAATTCGATTATCTTATCTAAAATATTTATATATTATATACGATACACTGGTATTATCATCACAGCGACCTGAATAATTTCGAACGTAAACAAAATATATTTTTTCTTGTTCTTGTTTTAAAATTACAAAAAAACTGTCTTAAATTTCAAAGTGCGTACTTGAAACACAATGGAAATGTCACATACAGTTCACATTTAAACTGTATTTTTTTCAGTGTTGATCAAATTGCAAAAATGCCTTAGTGAATGGTCGTACATGTGGAATAAAAATTTGTACTGGAATTGATAAATATAGCTTTTCTTCAATTTGTCATTACGAATTTTTAAAAGTGGGCTTTAAAATATTATTTCAAAAGTGATAACTTTCATATGACGTATACACCAGCAAAACTCAATTTCTAGTCAATTTATTTTAATCGACTAAAAAAACTTTAATTTACACCAATGGAGTGAATTACAAACAAAAGAGGAAGATGCTCGTCTGTTGTCTAGAATGTCACACAATATACACCTATTGTAAAGCACATCACATGTGTGTTTTGGAGGAGAGATACACTCTCTTCTTTCAAGCGTCAGGGCGTGCATATATCTACATAAATGCATTCTGCCATTCGTCACTGTGTGGCTATAAGGACATCCTTGCCTCCTCGACGCGCAGCAACGTCTCACGCATTGGTTAAATATTTCGTTTTCAAGATGTCTTGGACTATGAACATGCATTTTGGACGATAGATTGATGGTACATATAGAAGTGTAAAGAGTAGTAAGGTACCTCAATATACTAGTACAAACCTCTAGGCGGTGCCACTGTCGTCTGAAAAGCGTTGACGTATTATACAAGGCACCTGCAAGTTTGACGTCACAATTACCTGGACCTAACATGCATTCTTTGATATTAATATATATAATTACTTGTAGCATAGCCTACGACCTAATGTCCGCATATTTGAGGTCTGATAAATAACATTGACTGATGACGTAATCACCAAACATAACGTTAACCAATGACGTTATGGTCGATTATTTTCTAATCAGTGAAAAAGGAAAGTAAATCAACCTGACGACAACAATATATTTTCCCAGCAAAAACTTAAGAATGGAACTTTTCAGTTAAATCTAGGAAAGCCGAACGCTACCAGCCACCGGAACTATGGCCTTAGCCCGGACCAATATGAGGAAGCTCGGAGACTGTGGCACAAGATTCAAAACAGAGAGAGGACTCGCGTCGGCAAGGTGAGGGGAAAATATCTCAGTATTACTATCCACAATTGAAAAATGTCCTATTTCAATTTCAAAAAGTGACGTTTTCTTTGTTTACATACCCTGTAAGGCTACTGAGTTCACACAATTACCGACTGTCAAAACGTTAAAATCTGTCAAACAAGATTAACCTATGTCTATATATCCAATGTACTAAATATTATGGCGGTCTAAATGACGACCGGTCTTTTAGAACAAAATAATTTAATAAGATAAAATATAAAACACCGAATCCATGGGAGAGAATTAATTTGTGATAGGAGAAAACTCGATTTAGCGGGAAAAAATCCAATATCGGACACCTTTGTTGTATATTGCATACATGTCCACGCGAAACATGCATTGCAATAATTTTTTCCTAGTAAGAACAGACATTAACTGCAAGCATCGAAACATTATAGAAACGGGATTGCTTTTTGCATGTTCTCATTGAATGACAACATCCTATTTTCGCAGGCACCATTAGTTGAGAACGAGGTGACAGACATTTTGGCTGGAGATATGATCATGCACCCGATTTTACTGCGGAGGATTGACGAGCAGCATTCCAGACGTCATAAAAGAAAAATCATCAATTTTGACAGATTTGCGTCTTTAAAGTGGAGCCTTACAATACCGTTCACATACGACCCCAACAATGAAACAGCTCACAGTAAGTGGTGATATCACCTGACCCAAATACAGTTTTCAAATACTTTTGTGTGAAATATTAACTGTTTTGATATAGAAACTTATATGAGCGAAACAGGTCTTAATTCTCCACTTTGGTTATTTACTGTTCTTGCGAACATCTCAGAAACTACTGTAAACAAAGCATTCCATGCTCTTTCTCAGCTGACTCTCAGAAGGAGATAATCCGCGAGGCAATGACCGTATGGGAAGAGAACACGTGCCTCAGGTTTCTGGAGTTAACGAGCGACGAGGCAGCGGCCATGACCAGCGAGTACATCTTTATAACGGCGCGGAGCTCTGGGTAAGTTCAGTGGTCGCTTTCCAAGCACGTCAACACTGTCACGAATCTTTAATTTAAATCACTTTTCGCCTTATGCATCAACAAGTAAGTGATTGTCTTCTTTTCTCTCTACTCTTTTATGTTTATTTTGGACTGAGATTGTTAAAGTCATAAAAACTGCATATGTCGAGATTTAGGACATGAATTGTGTGCTTGCCAATATGGCTATGTTGTTTTCCCATCAAACTTGCCACTTGTTCACATTTTCCATAATTGCTCCAATGACACTTTTTGAAAAAAAAAACGAACGACAATCCTTTTTGTATTTCATACTTTTTCAAAAACGTTTCAAGAGAATTGCTTCTTTACAGTTGCTATTCCTACGTTGGGAGAACAAAAATAGCTCAGGACCTTAATCTACATAGCGCGTGCTTCTCCATGACTGCAGTGAGTATGGAACACAACGCAGAAAAAAATAGTTTCCAGGATTGAAATAATTCTACACGCACTTTTCAACTTTGACCAACCCTAAAACTAACTGTCAATCCCAAAACATGCGTTATTCACTGTTTTGAACAAGGTTGCTAAAGGCTCACGTTAGAAATGTGTAGATGTATTGTTGGACATCTTTAAATGATAGAATACCGCCTGAAAGTAATTTGACCCGATATTTGTAGGTACGTTTGTACGCATAAATGCGTAAATTTGGCAATCTTGTTCGCATATCAGTGTTTTTTCTCTCGAACTGAAGGCATGATAGGTAGTTGGAAAACACCTATTAACTTCCAGCAACCCCTTTATCTCTCTCATCCCCTTTTAGAGTAAGAGTTGATCTCTTAATCTGCGTTCAGTACGCTTTGCTGTTGAATTGGTTGCTATATGTCATGCCTTAGCTATCATTTAATAAATTTACGTATTATATCTACTCACAATTCTCTGCTGATTCATATTAAATAGATATACAGTAATTTTGCAGACGGGGAGGTTAGAAAGTACCACTGTAATTTCAAACATGATAGGCATGTCTCGTTAATCCATAGAAACCATTTCAACCATGTGCTTGTTGACTTACGTTTGACGGACGATAAATTTAAGTTAACTGGGCTGGAATACCATTTTACTAATGCAGACACTAGTCCATCAGCTACAAAAGTGATAGATAATAATTTATGTAAAAATTATTCTGAAATTTGTAATAGCTATGAAGTATAATTACAATCAAACCTCAAAAGTCAGTTGCGTTTCCCAACTTGGCTAGTGATATTTCTCTCGAACATTTTCAGAAAATCCAAAACATATTTGGAGGGGAGCCCGTTTTGATATCTAACATCCGTGAGGTAAATAATTCACCAAATCCTTAATATAGCCCCTCGTTTCCTTCTGCGCCCAACCCTGTAGCGACCCGTCTCAAAACGAAATCACCAGAAGCACGGCGCACATGTGTTGCGGTTGAACGCTGGTCCAAATATTACAAAATGGCACAACTCGTACATTGGACATTTAAGACCAAAATTACAGCCGACCTTTAAATTATAAAACTATTATAATCTTAACATTTTTGAGAAAAAAGTCAAATATCATTACTGACATGGCTGCTACATGTAGGTTCAAGTCAAAGAAGACTCGTTTTTGGTCTTAAAGTTGTCACCACTACGAGTAAGTTTGTTTTATATGCCTGCACTCTGCTCATTCTCAGTGGGAAACCTTGACGTCACTGAGAATAGCATGCAAGCAGAGTAATGGAAATTAACATTTGCGAGGCGCTTAACTTAAGGTAAGGATCAAAGAATCAATAAAATAACTGAGCACAACAAATCCCACAACTCTGTGCCAACTTCCCATTGTCACAGACATATATATATATATAATGTGAAAAATACAACACACGTGGACGCATAATGTTACTAGAATATGAGAATGTTTTACAAGAATATGATGAAGGAACATTCTCCCCCAAACGAACCCAAAAGCAGCGACGTAGTGCAGCTAAAACATGTCACGTGACATGACAGGCGCTTCACTGGTAGTGGGGAATCTCTTTTATTGGCACGATTCTAAGACAACGATAATTTTTATCATTAACGGAAACGAGTGCATATTCTTCCTTATATCTGTCCTTATTCACTACTTGTATTGTTATGCAATTTTATCTTTTTTCAACTACTTTATATGTGCTAACAAAAATTGATAATTTAAACAGAACCTTGGACAATTTTCCATTTATTCGTCAAAATATCCACTCCGTATTTCACTCATTTTCATTTGACACCCCCACCAACCCCATGGTATGTTTCTGGCTTGCGCACCCAGTAATACGGCTCGTGGCTCGTGGCGCGTGCACTGCTTCAGCTCTGGTGGCAATGTAGTTCCTTTTCAAGAGGCCTTTTCACATCGGGTGATAAATTGCAGCTATACACCTGTATAATCAGGTGTGTAGAGCTTGACAACACCTGCAGATAACCTGGTTGACATGTATGAGAGACATCTCGACACACCCATTTAATGTACAGCAGGAAATAAACTAAAGTTCCCAGTAGGGTAAATATATAGTAGAACCTCTCAAAATATACCAGTACAGACTGTACCGCTAAAGTATACCGCTCGATGTGAAATGGCCCTAAGACTGACCAGTACAATTGGTTTTACGTACAATAAATCACCCCCGGTACCACATGCACTTCAGAGTATACTGTACCATGTGAGATACCAGTAATATCACATTTTGTTATAAACCACTCTGTGTATCATCGTTGTACTCGTTCAAATTAAAACAAATCACATAACTATTCTGATCTATTTTTACAGACGTTACCTTCATTTTAAAAAAATTGCAAATAAAGCTAAACCTTGACTAAACTGATCTAACCTCTTTCTTTTCAGCTGGGTACCATAGTTCACGAAATGGGTCACGCCATTGGACTATTTCACGAGCACGTGCGCTCAGACAGAGACCTGTATGTTACTGTAGACCTCGACAGCACTAAACAGGGATTTGAAGGGAATTTTATCCAACCCGATGCAGGAATGACGACAAATCATGAAGTCCCTTACGACTACGGTTCTGTGATGCACTATAGGGCCGTCGTAAGTATTCCGTCCTTTTGTTACGTAGCATGTGCATATTACACGTAAAAACAAACACGTTTTTCTACAGATAACAATGTTTGAAATGCAATAAAAATGACAACACAGTAAAATTAACTGTATAACACATGAAGTGTTAAGAAGAACTGCAACACGTGATGAAATATTACAATTTGGTATTTTTAAAGCCACGTTTGGCAAAAGGCCATATGTATATATACATGTACCTGACAGGTATCTATATATATATTCTCCAAATGATAACATACCAGTCTATGTTCCACTATATGTATATAATCCAGGCGTTCAGCGTGGACGGTACAACGCCCACCATACTAACCAACGACCCCCTGTACCAAGGCACCATAGGCCAAAGATGGCAGCTGTCCTTCAACGACGCTCTCATTGTTAACAAGGCGTATTGCGCGGGTGAGTACGAATGGATTTATTTCAAAATATTGGGATCTTAGTTATTAAATAAAACCCTTGGATGACACATGACAATCCTCTGGCATATTTGCAATGCTGACCTTCGTGTACTAGTAAGTAGTATGTATGGGCATACATGTATGACACTATTGGGCCATGCAGTGTAAAACAAGCGGACTCTCCATGTGGAACATAGAGTTCTCCTCCCTTTCTGTCCATACAGGTTAGGTTAAGCGTGACGTTAGTGGTTCAAAATAATTTTTTTGCGTTATTTCTTTAAATTTATTGCATGTGTGTGTGTTTTTGTGTGTGTTTGTGTGTGTGTTTATGTGTGTGTATGTGTGAGTGTGTGAAAAAGGGCCTTTCACCGTAAAACAATAGCCAGTTCAGAGTAATGAGGAACTTTGCCACTGCAAATTATATGTTTATTATATACATGAAGTGTAATTATTATTATTGTTATCCATAATGTTGTAATTCAAGTTTGAATTATTTCATATCACGAAGACAAATGCACCGGAAGTCACCAATGTAGAAATGGTGGCTATCCTAATCCCAACAATTGTCTGGTATGCTTATGTCCAGATGGTCTTGCGCCGCCATATTGTACGGAGCCAGAACCACCTGAAATGGGTAAGATAAGAAAAATACGAAGAAAACAATTGTAGAGCTGTATCTTCCTGTTTCTTCTCAATGTTATTTGTGTTGAGGCCTTGACGTAACAGGACTGTCCGGAGACTGGCACATTTTACTTGTAACACTACAAATAAGACCTACAGAGCTCACTCACTGGTTCATTCCGACCTAGATGGCAATACTTTATGTAGCAAATGAAATGTCAGGATTTTATTTATTTATTTATTCATTTATTTTATGTATTAATTAATTAATTAATTAATTAATTAATTAATTTATTTATTTATTTATTATTATTATTATTATTATTATTATTACGTATATCAAAGGCCAGCTCTCTCTCACAGTGTAACCTAAATTAGCCACCTATAAGCCAGGTATCTCCTAATTACAGACGTGTGTGGCGGTACGGTTATTTTGACAGAGGAAAACCCGAGGACTCTGGAAGTGAAATCACCGAACGAATACCCATCCTTCTACAAACCATTCACAAGATGTAACTGGCTGATCGAGGTATGGAGCACGTAAATTACTGTCATAACTTCTCTTAGAGAAACTTCTAACGAAAAGTTATTGATACATAATGTTTGAGACGGCGGTGTTTTCAAATGGAATTTTATGTCAAAACAATTATAACATAGCCATAACGATTTATGACCAAATCCAACAGTTGCACTTGAACAGTAAATTTTAAAAAACTCAAAATTAATTTTTTATGAGGATAGCTGTTTGAACAATAACTAACCGTTATTTTTTATTTTTTATTTTTATTTTATTTATTTATTTTATATTTTTGTTATTTTAGTGGTCATTAAATTTTCGAAAATACTCCTTTCGACTCTGTATTTAAACATGATAATATCTATCTATCGTCATGTTAATATATTGTACAGACACATAAAACGGTCTGAGACAGCTACAGAAATTGTGTAAGTGTGTGCGCATGTGTGCGCTTACGCCCCTGTGTGTGTGAAAGTGGAGTATGCATGCATGGGTGGTTTGTATCATGGTAAAACAGATAATGACAACATATGACCTTTTACGTACACTTGCAGGCCTCCACTTCTGATAGTGCGTGTGCGTGTGTGTCAATTATCTACCATATTAAAACAGCAAAATAAACGTATTTAACCCATTATTTTATAGGCACCTCCAGGCTACCTTATACAATTCCAATTTATACCCAAAGAATCTTTCGTTGGACAATTCGGAATGTACACCACGGATCTGCCTTGTAGTTCCTCGAGTAAACAGTGCTTTGATTTTGTGGAGATTAAGTACGACGCCAACGACTTCGGAACAACTGGACCAAGGTGAGTGTATGGACACTGTATAAAGAAATGTTCCAGTAAACACATGAATAACCTTTGACTCAAACCAGTACTCAAGGGTATTTAAGTGACGCTCCATATGGTGTTGTCTTCTTAAAATATCTGGCCAGTCATAATAAGCAGCGACCATATTCCTATATGCTCCTATGCACTGGTAATATCAACATCAAGTACGCTCCAGTAAAATATTAAAAGGGTTAAAGCACTTTAAGGTGTATATAAGGTTGTATAAGAAGCTGTGAACTGCAAAAATAAGCATTTGGGGAAGTTTCAAACCCATGAAGTGTACCTTTAAGCAAAACTGTTCTATTCTACCTTTGGATTATTCGGTCAATATTGAAGAAACTGGTGTATACGATAATTCTTGTTTACAGCTTTAAATGTCAGACTAAGAAAAGAATTTAAAAATCTTTAAAACTGATCTAAAAAAAAGCTATCATTCAATATTTATTTTCTTAATTAATTCGCGTCGGGTATGCTTTGATATACAAACGAAGACATTGGGAAAATTTCAAGAAACGCTTGTTTCTTTTCTATATTAGTGTCAACATCGGAGAGAACCCCTTTAAACTCAAGATTCAGCAAGTTTATTTCCCATATCTACAACAAATTATTTTCTAAATAAAACAAATTTTTGTGTTGCAGATTTTGCTGCAGTGGAGAGCCGACGGCAGTGGTGACATCCGTCACAAACAGAGCCCTCGTGTTGTTCAGATCGTATCTGCAGTTTTTCATATTAATCGGCTTCCAGATGGACGTCAGTATAGGTGAGAGGCGAAACTTTCACTTTCGTTTTCCTTTACCATATTTTGTAATGCTGGATGTGAATTTACACCCGGATTTATGAAAGAGTTCTCTTACATGTAGTTTTCAGTGTTGATTTAAGCAATATGGGAAGCAGATTGGAAGCATGATTATCCCATTGAATTTATCTATTTAAGTATTTATCTTTTCTGGTATTTTCCAACGTAGCTGTTGGTAACGTCAGACATTAAAAAATCTGTTGCTGTTTTTAGTGCCAGATCCTAATGCAGTCATCACAACCACAACTACTACACCAACCACAACTACTACACCTACTACAACTACTACACCCACTACAACTACAACACCAACCACAACAACT